TGGTGCTGTGGGGGTCAGCTGGATTACTCCTGGTGTGCAGTGTGTGACAGGGTACAGTGGGCCCCAATCGCAGTGCACTTGCGGCTTTCCTACGGGTTAGGTGTTAGCGTCACTTTGCCATAGATTTCTATTATAACTTGCAGGTGTGGTGCATGTTCTGAAAGCGCACCAAAACTCCTGTCCTACAGAAGAAGCATCGGCTTATACAGTCAGTCCATAAATATTGGGACATCGACACAATTCTAACATTTGTGGCTCTATACACCACCACAATGGATTTGAAATGAAACGAACAAGATGTGCTTTAACTGCAGACTGTCAGCTTTAATGTGAGGGTATTTACATCCAAATCAGGTGAACGGTGTAGGAATTACAACAGTTTGCATATGTGCCTCCCACTTGTTAACGGACCAAAAGTAATGGGACAATTGGCTTCTCAGCTGTTCCATGGCCAGGTGTGTGTTATTCTCTCATTATCCCAATTACAATGAGCAGATAAAAGGTCCAGAGTTCATTTCAAGTGTGCTATTTGCATTTGGAATCTGTTGCTGTCAACTCTCAAGATGAGATCCAAAGAGCTGTCACTATCAGTGAAGCAAGCCATCATTAGGCTGAAAAAACAAAACAAACCCATCAGAGAGATAGCAAAAACATTAGACGTGGCCAAAACAACTGTTTGGAACATTCTTAAAAAGAAGGAACGCACCGGTGAGCTCAGCAACACCAAAAGACCCGATGTCCCAATATTTATGGACCTGACTGTATGTCTCCTGCTTCCTCCGCTGCCAGTTCTATGCAAACTCTGATGGCAGGGATGGCAGGTCAGCAACCCATCGATTGACATCTAGATCTGCCTACCCGCTATCCCAGAGCATGAGGTCATGGGCCACATCAGAGCACCATTGCTCTGGAAGATGAAATAAAGCCTTGGAATTTTTACTGTGCTGATGACCCTTTCTATATCTACACCAAATGTGCAAGGTAGCACATGAATCTTGCACCCAGTCAAAATTGTTGGAAGGGCAGATGAAGGGTGAGCTTGCTTGTAACGGAACCGGAACCCAGTCCACACTTGGGTATTTTTCGTTATACTGAAGCTTCCCTGTCCAATCACAAATCCACGGACCACACCTGCTGATCATGCAGGAAATAAGATAGCACCAGACTCCCTTAAGACAGGAAGTCAACTCTTTTATTTTTACACAAAACACAATATATATACACAGGGCAGGGAAACACAACCAGGAACAGGTAACTCATCATCAGCCTGCCCCATCAGTGGGAAGGGCTACAGGAAACACCCCTCCCACCCAACCAAGACACAGAACAATGGGATGCAGCACATGGCAAAGGACAATGGACAGCCATGTGGCAGGGAACAAAGGACAACACACCAATACACAATAGACATTCACATCCACACCCTGTACCCCTTAACAGGCACAGAGTGGTTAAACATAAGAATTTGGGAAGATGATACAGGGGTCCCCCCACCCCCAAAAGTCACTCCCGTCACATTGCTGTTCTATTTTATCCATGATGTAGGTTAAAATGCAATAATTCAATAAAAAGTAATCAGCTGTGTAGGAAGAATGAAGCTGGATGAGGAAAAGCTATGTTCCACTAACAGGTTGAGGTGACTGAAGACAGTCCAGTTTAAAATATCTTACACATTGGCAAGACTGAGCACAGCAAAAAGACACAGGGTGGATACATCAACAAAGTCTCTCACAGGCATAAATTTCAAGGAATACAGGTGTTTCCAGATGTGCTATTTAAACTCTTCTGTGGAAGCACAAAGAAACAGACAATACTGAGGACAAAAATACAGTGGTTGCCCAAGCATGCTTATTGCAGCAGAAGAAAAGCACATCATGCTGACATATATGTGCATTTGGAAGATGCCAAGTGGCACCATCATCTCAGACTTGGCAGAAAACAGTGGGACCTTGGTACTCCCCTCTACAGTCCTGAGATGTTTAGTCATATATGTAAGACTTGCAGCCAGGGGCGGACTGACCATTTGGAAACACGGGTACTGCCCGAGGGCACGGGGTCAGTTGGGGCCCCATGAGATGCCCCTGGTACCTTTTTAATAGGCTTTTTTGAGTTTGGGCAAGGACACAGGGGCCCCATGATCCCCTATTGCCCGGGGGCCCCATGAGTTGTCAGTCCGCCCCTGCTACTCACATTCCTTCAAACCAGACACATCAAATGATGTATTTATATCTATAGAGATAGCTTTGTGCATCTAAACTCAGTCATTTGGAAGAGTGCCTGCATACTTTTGTCAGCAGTGCATTTCATCTTCGTTTAGAGGTTCACTCTCTCTGAGATGACGCTTTTCATAACAAGTCACACTATCCCCACCATTTTGAATATTATTTTTAAATTCTCCATAATTGTAAATTTTTCATCTTGGAGCTTATGGAAAAGTCGTATATATTTAAATAAAAGATTCACTTGACCCTATGCTGTTTGCTCCCTTATGGAAAAATAA